ATTGTTTCTACTTTTGGTCCCCGTTCCAGACAGACAGTTTGTTCTTAAAGATAAGAGCACTGAATTGAAGTACCGTAAGACAAACGGAAGTCGATCATTTCTCCACGGTGATAAGAGGAGCAGACTGATAGTAAGGGCGGGGAGCAGACATTAAGAGACAGATAAGCTTCTTGTTGGGAAGCTGGTGTCTAACAGAACAACCTTGACTCTGTCTGAAACAGTGAAAACAAATACATAACATTTAATGTACGCTGGTACATTCATTACTATCAACTCTTGTTCTCTTTCTCACCAGTTGATAGCAGAAGCTCCTCTGTGCAGAGGTAAGATGGAGGGATGGTAGATGATGGAGCCATGCTTGGGATGGTCGATTACGTTCATGGGGATGAACTGAGAACAGAAGGGCATGACGTTCAGCTCTGCACCCACTGACTTATATGCCTCCACCACCTCTGGAAGAGGCTTTCCCTTCATCCGCCACCTTGGAAACTTGAAAACTGGTGTMCCGTCTTTCTCAGCCACCACCGCTAGAACACAGAAGAGAGTGAGAATAGAAGTTTCAGTGGCTAGYCCTATTAAATACATTACCCATAGTTGTCAAACTGGAGTACAAATACCACTGTAGGTACTCAGGATCCCTCTAGCAGTACACAAAAGAAAGTTTGGTCTTAGTTTTAGTTCTCAATGTGTTGTGAATGCACAGATACTATAAATTAAAGAGGCTTTAAAAGGATATCAAATAAAGACAAGCATAAGTAATAAAATGTTCTCTATAAATAACAATTAGACCTGGAACCCAAYGTGTCAGTTTCAACTAGTTCAACTAAAGTCAGATAAGTTTTAAATCCAGTCAGAACCACATCACACAGCTATAATAAACTGTAATAAACCCAGTACATGGCAACGTATCAAACAATAATGACCTTTGGACATAAGTCCATTAATGTCCCAAATGCATTATGTAAACCAGTAGGTGAAAAGAAAATGTTAACTCTACTGGGCTCAGAATTCTCCAAACAGAAAAGAGTGAAACATTGTTTAAACTACAAAAGTGTTTAAAACAAAGACCAAAAGGTGGCTGATAATTTGTGAAAAGATTGAACACATTTTTTTCTTTTTCTCTCAGAGCTGCATCTCTAGAACACACAGATGCCCCTACTAAAAGAGACAATAGGGCCACTATCCCTTGGCTAACACARGATGTGGGCCTGTCTTTGTTCAAGAGCACAGCTCAGTCAACACACATCTACCTCAGCCACAACACAGGCCTCTGATGAGCACCAGGATCCAGGACAAACACCCCTGCAATTATGGGACCCCTGAGCACTAAGGTTCTACCCAAAGCTCATACTCATTTATCTAAATGACCAGATACAGAAAGAAAGACAGGACCAAAGTCTGTTTAATTTTAGGACTAGACTTCTACTTAAATTCTAYAGTTATTAAGAGTTGTTTTGGGTTTCCTGAGTTGTCCCTTAGTTTTGCTGCTATAGGTTTAAGGGCGTGACATACTGTACTCCATCCAACGCAGCAAAATCGTCTATCATTGTTGACACGAGGCCTGGTTCAAACTTTTCTCAAAKGAGTTTGTGTAAAGAATGGTGTTATTCATCAGAGGCTTGCGGGAGTGTTTGTTTATGCAGAAAAGCACYCAGACAATAAAGATGGTATTTTGCTTCAACTCCACTTCTAGAGGCTGGATGTCRCACGTCCAAGCAACRTAGATAGTTTTGAGGAGCAGTTGTCTGAGGCARGCTGAAAGTATGTCCATCTATAACTCTTCCAGAMACTTGTAAAGGTGGTCAAAWGGCTRAAAACTCCTGGATGGACATAGAGCGTGGAGGAGGCATCTGCCGAAATATGTGGTGCTCAGTCCGTGACAGATTTGTGGCTAGGGATGCACGATATATCGGTATTGATATCGGTATTAGCCGATATTGATCATTTTTTTGAATATCRGTATCGGTCTGATATGTAAAACTGAGCCGATATTAACGTCCAATATTGACTTCCCACTTTTTAGCTTTAGTTTCTCTTTTGGGAGGGGAGATGGTTGGTTGAGCGGCATCTGTTTGATCATGATAGCGATATTGACGCTGCGCAGCCAGGAATRACTGAAGTAGGGAGCCATGTCAGAGGTCTGGTTGTTTATTTACAGTATCAAAAAAAGACCCAAGCGTGTTTGTGCGTATTTGTATAATATAATTTGTGTGTTTGTGTAATATCCRTAAATATCAGTTATCGGCCATAACAGCAATAATTGTATCGGATATCGATATCGGCTGAAATTTTCATATYGGTGCATCCCTATTTGTGGCCAAACAGCTGATGCAGGGATGGAGTGGGGACCCAAGCAGGAAGAAACCCATGCTGTTACATGTACTGCAGTAGGAAGAGTTTCCCAGGAGGTCTGCACAGTATGTCTCATCATGGACTATGAAAGGTGAGTGCGAAATCGAAACCCCCACCACCACATGACCGCGCGTCAACTTGTCAGTTGCTGATCAACCACGCAAGAGGTTTCTTTGCGTTAATAGGGATTTGTTTCTTTCCACTGTCACCAATGTGCTCCTCAGGATGGGAAATTGTGACAAAGTGAAGACTCAAAACAATCTGCTTGCTTCCTTAGGTAGATCGTTTTTATAAGATAGCATTGTATAATGTATGTAAATGTTTTGTAACGTGCACTGAGATGACCTTTGTCAATTGATGCTATATAAATAAACTTAACTGAATTGAATTTTCTCAAACAACATTTTGTGAAAAGGTGCCACCCAAAGTTTACCTTCAGCATACTGCACAGCTAATTCATCATCTTTAGTCAATTTATTTAATTAATAGTAAGTGTACATTTGACTGTATTTTTATTAAAATTACTTAAATGTGAACTGTATTTACCCTACTTATAACAAAGRAAATAGACATTTAGAGGCCATCAAAAATTCCTAGTTTTTCATAATGCTTTTCATAATTCATTGGCGCTCTACAAACATAACCCGTGTAAATTCTGGGGGGTGAAGACGATGCACCAACATTTGCTACCCAATATATTAGTTAAATCTAATCGCTGAAATATGTTGCAATTTAAAATGACACTTGCTAGCTTTTATAAGTTAATGCCCTCTTGTTTGTTCCTGCTGTAATAAAGACCCCCCAGGCCCAAACACAAAACTGTTTTGGTGGAATWAGTCAACCATGGTCTGATTCCAAGTGTTTTCTCCCCACATGTACTGGAATATTTTTCTTTGATTTTTTTTACTGTCCCATAAGGGTTTAATCTGATGTAAAAATTGTTCCATAAATTATATYTAATCCTACTGTTGTCTTTATTTTAGTGGCTTAATTTTGATCTGTCCATCACTGACCAACACAACTTAATCTTTTATTAAAATAGCAAAACTGGGGTACTAAGAGGAGGTGTAGACGTTTCCTTGCTTTTTGGCTGATGACAGATTTTAAATGAGGTTTGGCTTGGTTTACTGGCTCCGACCAGCAGAAAATAAGATGTCCTCACTTAGGCGTGGCATTTTTGGAAACGATGGCAGAGAACGGTGAGTGTTTTGTGACCTTATTTCTCATGATAACCTGCGTACATGGAGGCRACATTCATACTACTGAGATCACGTGCAGCTGGGCCGCCTTGAATTACGGTAACGAGACTGAAGCTGAGACTGGACAATGTAAAAGTGGCYGTAAAGAGTCTTAAGGGAGAAGGAAAATATCAGAGAATAAACTATTTGGTGCGTACAAAACAGCATAGCAGCGTCATGAGGAAGGTTTTCAAAACTCACCCAAGGGGTCTGCCTTGCCATCTTTGTCAGGAACTGTGAACACACCCACAACCTTGTGACCCTGCTTCCTCAGGTTGCTGTACACCTCCTGGCCAAACAAACTCTGACCAATTATGGCCAGTTTAAGTTTATTCTGGTAGTAAGTCTGGTAATAAGGAGACACAAAAAACACAGGTTAGACTTACTTAAGCTAGTTTCTCACAGGGTTGTTAGTGACAGGTGAGAGTTGCGCAAATGTTTTCTAAATGTCTCGACTTTTGTGGGGTTCTCAACTTCTGTGTGTAAGTCCTGCACTAGGAGTTTTGAACATATTCCAAAATATTTTGTGCAAAATTTCTCTCAAAATTAGGGGCCAGACGATTTATTGCCTTAATTTTGGGAGATCGGATGATCCTTAGATAAGATCGGTGGAAARGTTTGGCTTTTCTATCTCCACAAAGGTCTGAAAATCAGCCACTTTCCTCTTTTGCTCTGCTGTKAGYACTACCTAATGTCCAGTTAAAACAATGTTGTATTGTTTCAATGGTATTGTTCAATGCATTTCAATAAAACAACATTTGAACAGAACATTGGAATTGTATTGTGACTTTGTAACATCTGACTAGGGCTGCCACAAACGATTATTTTTATAATCGATTAATCACCGATTATTTTTTTCGATTAGTCGACTAATC